GACTAATTTCACTCAGCATAATGTCCTCAAGGTTCATCCATGTTATGTATCCTTTTTAAGATGGCTGAAACCTTTTTTGGAATATGGTAGGGCATAAACAAAAATCTCACATCAGATTAGTATATTTTGTTTCTTTTGATTCTAAAATACTTTAATAATTAATATTGGTATGAAGACTGATATACAATGCAATTATTTACTTTACAAGGAGATTCTGTACATCAGGGAAGTATCTTGAAGTACAATACACCAGGTTTTTGTTTCTTCTTTACATTATGATAGTTAATTGTTAATTACAGGGATAGAGAATACAAAATGGATTTTATTAAAAACAAAACACCTAGAAAGACAACCCCCAAAGTATCTTGCTTCAAAATAACATGAATGAGATGAAAGATGAACTGGATCCCTTGGTGGCACATAGAAGGCAGGCAAGTCCTGTTTCTCACTTGGCACATTAAAAAAAGAAAGGCAGTTTCTAAAAGAAGGGTTTCAAATTCATCTCTAAGCTACAAGAATGCTGGCATAAGCCAGTTAGTTCCAAACCAACAAGAAAAAATGGTCAGAAGAAGGCAAATTATCAGTTAATATGTGGTCATGCTATAGACAGACCATTAACAGACTTTAGTAGAATCCTCACTTATTTTTCCTTTCATTTTCCCAAATGTTAGAGATCTCCAAGGAGATGTGAACCTAGTCTATCTCCACAGTTAAAAAACATCTGACAGAATTGAGAAATCCAAATTCTCTGTGTAGCTTTTCACCAAACAGAAAAGACATTGCCTTTTAAGGTCACTTCAGCATTTTGGTTTTGATACTCTTTGCTGATATTCTGAATCTTCAGCAAAGCTTATGCAAACATGGAAGGAGAAAAAGAGAAAAATCTAGTGATGGATTTTAAAAGACAAGCAAGGACCACAGAGTAAATCAGAAGAAACCTATGAAGCAGTGACAATTTCCTGAACATTAAAGTAAAGAAAAAGAGCCACCTTTATCAATTAAATAGAAACCATTTTATTCCTCCACTTGGTGTGGACAGGATTTAGAGAATAGTGAGGCTGTATGGTTTTCAGTAAAAATCAAAAGCAAATCTTGTGTTTTAGGAAATAGTATTAATATATATTACAAAGAAAGGTGTAAACTGCCAGAGAGGGTCAGCAGAGGGATCAATGTTTGGAGTTATGTGGGAGAACACAGCAGGAGAGGGTAGACAGTGCTGAGGAGATGAGAGGAGCAGTGGGTCATGATCAGGTTCCTCTTGTTGTTTCTTCAAATACATTTTCCTGTCCAGCACCCCACATCCTTAGGTCCTTTCTGTGATTCTGGCTGGAGATGTGGGGTCCAACAATACACAAGTGTCCCCACAGAGATGCTACAACTTTGCTTCATGAAGGAGGATACATCTACTGGTCAGAAGTGATTCAGAATGCCACTTGGTACAAATAAAGTACAACAGCCTATAAAATGTAACTAAGTTATTTCCCTGCCAAGTTGGCATTAAAATGAAGACTTTTTTAGTTTTGTTTTTGTATACAGAAAATATATATACTTTCTCATTTTACAAACTTAAAATCTGGTTGCAGCTTAGATTCTCTGACAGACACAAAGTATATAAATTACCATTATTTCTTTGTGATAATTTTTTTTGTAAAAAATTACGGTGAACTATGCCAAAAAGGGAAAACATGTTGGATCCTGAGTTTCTTCTCAGGCTTCAGTGCCTAAGGAGGAATTTATTGCTGTGTTAGAAGAGGTCTCCACCCACTGGCGATGAGTTGAATTCTGACTCATAGAACCCTACAGAACAGAGCAGAAATGCCTAATAGGGTTTCCAAGGCTGTAAATCTTTACAAAAGCAGACTGCCATATCTTTCTCCCGTGCAACGGCTAGTGGGTTGGAATCAGTCCAGTGCTTAACCACTGCCCCCCAGGGCTCTCTATAAAAGGTATAGTGCAATGCTTTTCCAACTGACATGCCAGTATGGTAAGAAAGCTTCCCCTGGAGGGCAGGCACTTTGCCTCCAGAAGAGGCTTTCCCCTCTGTCAATTGTGATGGCGGACACTTAGCACTACACCAGTGGTCTCACAACCAGGGCAGGGCAGGTAAGGCTGATGGTGCAAACTGTGCCTGAGCATAGGCAGTCATCTGGGGGTACAGCCAATGAACCTGGGGCCTTGAACGGGGCCCAGAACTTTGGTGGCTGGTGAAGAAGGATGCTGCGAGTATGCTGCAAAATTAAAAAATTCAGAAGCACTGATAAGTTTAGCTGTGCCTCAGGGGCAGTACATGAAGTTCATTCCAGTGACACACTACATTCATAGACGTGCTGCTCACTCCAGAGGGCCTGGTTTTCACTGGGCTGGGGAAGCACTGAAGTGCCTTTTCGCTGTCACTCTAGAGGACACAGCAACAAAACAGCCTGTTTTGGGGGTTGTCGTTTAGTCCGTCTCTCAAATTTCAGCATCATGGACGATGGTAGCTAAAACAGATGATCAGAAAGAGACAGATGATCAGATCATGTAGAATGTGTTCCTATTATAAAACTAATAGCAAAGAAATGTTACAATTAATTAAAACAAATAAGTCTCCTCCTCTGTCTTCGGTGCTAACTCTACCTGACTTTTCTGTAGCACCTGCTGCTCCTCACCCTCTTCCTTACTTGTTGACACCTTTTTAGCTTCCATGACACTATTTTTCCCTGAGATTGCATTCTTCCTCTTCGACTTCTCTTCTTCAATCTGCTTTCCTGATTCTTTTCCCTCTAGTTACCTTTTCAATAAAAATTTTTCCCCCCTCTAAAGTTCTACTGTCTTCCATAAATCTGTATTTTTTAGCCTTGCTTTTCTCCTTAACTTTGGGCTAGAGTATCCAACTATCTTCTAGGTATCTCTACCTCAGTGTTATATGCTCTTCAAAATCAAATAAATAATTTATTTTTTACTTTGTTTATTGTTTGCCTTTTCTTTTAGGATTAAAGCTCTTTGGGGACAGGGACTTTATCTTGATTCCTGTTGTACCAAGGTACCTAGCATTGTACCTATCATTTATCTAGTAGGTGGTCAATAAATAAATATTGAATGTTATTGTTAAGTGCCGTCAAGTCATTTCTGACTCATAGCGATCCTATATGGGGTTTCCAAGGAGCAGCTGGTGAGTTTGAACTTGTGGTTCCAACCAACCTTGCAGTCCAGTGCTTTATCCCACAGTGCCATATCAGGACTCCAATTATTGAATAAATGTCCTAAACTGTAAGCATGAACTACTTACCTTCTTCATAGCCATAAAAAATCTCATTAGAAATCTTAACAGTCATTTTGACTTCTTTTTATATTTCATCCTTCTAATTCCTGGTGTGGTTTTGTAGGATAAGCACTGGACTTCTAACTGCAAAGTTGGTGGTTCAAAACCACCAGCCACTCCTCGGAAACCCTATACAGGATTGCTGTGAATCAGAACTGACTCAACTGCACTTAACAACAACAATTCCATAGAAGAGTTCCTCGGTGGTACTAATGGTTACATGCCTGTCTACTAACCAAAAGTGATTTGATTTTCACTCAGAAGCACCTCTGAAGAAAGGCATGGCAATCTACCTCCATAAGGTCACACCCATTGAAACTCTGTGTACAGTTTCATTTTTGCAATGAGTCAAAATAGGCTTGCAATGAGTCAAAAAACAACTCAATGACAACTGGTATCGCAACCTACTTATCTGGCCTCATCTTTCCCTACACATCCTCTGCTCTAGCCACATTTCCAGTTACCCATAAGCACCAGACTTTCCTACCTCTTAGGGTCTCACTTATTGATATTTTCAATTGTGTCATATTCTGTGACAGACAGTGAACAAGGAAGACCACAGAAGAATAGATGCTTTTGTATTGTGGTGTTGGTGAAGACTATTGAAAGTACCATGGACAACCAAAAGAACAAACAAATCTATCTTGGAAGTATAGCCAGAAAGCTCTTTAGAGGCAAGGATGGTAAGACTTGTCTATTGCTTTTTGGACATGTTGTCAGGAGGGATTAAGTCCTTAGAGAAGGATATCATGCTTGGTAAAGTGGAGGGTCAATAAAAAAAGACGAGCACACTCAACAAAATGGACTGACACAGTGGCAACAACAATGGGCTAAAATGTAACAACAATTGTGAGGATGGCACAGGACCAGACAGTATTTGTTTTGTTGTGTATGGGTTGCTATGAGTCGGAATAGACTTGACAACACCTAACAACAATAATGGCCTCACTTATCTCCCTCCCATGGTTTGAGAAGACTAAGTATTATAATGAAATGTACAAAGACCTGGAGTTAAAAAAAACAAAAAGGAAGACATGCTCAGCATTTCTTAAGCTGAATGAACTGAAGAAAAAAAATTCAATCTCTGGGTGGCAATATTGAAGGATTCTGTGGACAAAATATTGACTGGTTGCACAAAAGATGAAAATAAGATGGAAGGAATACACAAAATCCCTGAACCAAAAAGAACTGGTCAGTGCTCAACCACTTCAAGAGGTAGCATATGATCAAGAACCAATGGTAGGAAGTCCAAGTTGCACTTATGGCACTGGTGTAAAACAAGGCTCTAGGCATTGACAGGATACAAATTGCAGTGTTTCAACAAACTGATGTATAGTGCTGGAGGTGCTGAATTATTTATGCAAAGAAGTATGGAAGATAGTCACTTGACCAACAAATTAGAAGAGATTCACAATTGTGACCATTCCAAAGAAAAATGACCCAACAGAATGCTGAAATAATCAAATAATATCATTAATATCACATGCAAGTAAAATACTGCTGAAGATATTTCAAAAATGGTTCTAGCAGTACATTGACATGGAGCTGCCAGAAATTCAAGCCGGATTCAGAGGATGTGGAACTAGGGCTATAATGGCTGATACCAGATGGAGCTTGGCTAAAAGCAGAGGATGCTAGCAAGATGTTTGTTGTAGGTGTTAAGTGCTGTTGAGTTGGTCCTGACTCACAGTGGCCCTATGAGGAGTAGTTGATGGATTTAAAGAGCCGAACTTGTGGTCCAGCACTTACCATACAGAGCCACATCAGGACTTTATTGACCATGCAAAATCTTTACTGATTACTCAAAGACATTTGATTGTATGGATCATAACAAAGTATAAATAAATAACATTGCAAAAAATGAGTATTCCAGAGCACTTAACTGTGCTAATGAGGAACTATACATAGACCAAGAAGCAATCATTCAAACAAAACAAGGGGATACGAAATGGTTTAAAATTAGGAAAAGTGTGCATCAGGATTGTATCCTTTCACCATTATTAATTAAATTGGCATGATAGCAAATAATTTGAGAAACTGGATTATGTGAAACAGAATGTGGCATCCGGATTGAAGGAGAATTTATTAACAATTTGTGGAAAGTAGAGAGAATTTAAAATACTTACTGAAGATAGTCAAAGACTACAGCCTGTAGTATGGATTGGGCCTCAATAATCCTCAAAAATGGTCCAATAAGTAACATCAAGATAAATGGAGAAAAGATTGAAGTTGTCAAAGACTTCATTTTGCTTGGATCCACAATCAACACTCATGGATGTAGCATTCAAGAAACCAAATGACGCATTGCATTAGTCTAATCTGCTGCATAAGACCTCTTTTAAAGTGGTAAAGACAGAGATCAGTTTGAAGACTAAAGTGTGCCTGACCCAAGCCATGGTATTTTCAATCACTTCATATGGATGTGAAAGTTGGACAATAAATAAGGAGGACCATAGAAAAATTGATGCATTTGAATTATGGCATTGGTATATATTGAATATACCATGGACTGCCAGAACAAACAAATCTGTCTTGGAAGAAGTACAGCCAGAATGCTCATCACAACTGAGGATGGTTAGACTTAGTCTCTTCCTCTTTGAACATGTTGTCAGAAAGGACTAGTCCCTGGAGAAGGATACCATGCTTGGTAAAGTCGAGGGTGATCAAAGAAAAGGGAAGCCCCTCAATGAGATGGAACAAAACAGTGGCAGCAACAAATGGCTTAAATATAATGACAAAATGAAGATGGCACAGGACTGGGCAGTGTTTCATTCTTTTGTGCATAGGATTGCTATGAATTGGAACCAGCTTGATCATACCTAATAACAACAGAAGGTCTCGCTTATGGTCCGACTGCTTGAAATGTTCTTTCCTTCCTTCTCATGCAGATAAATCCTTTTACATACTGTAGATCCAGCCTGTATGTCACCTTTTCTATGACTCTTCCTTAGCAAACCGTATTCCTCTTCCTATGGGTTGGAACCAACTAGATAGCACTTAACAACAACAACATAGCACTATATAACTATTTTAAACAAACATAACTAATACTGACATAGCTAGGAAGTGACAGTGTTGGCATATGAATCCTATCAGATTGACTCAGGCATTTATATTGTATATTGATTGTACTGCATTTAATAAAACATAGGTCTTTTTCTATATTACTAACTCCTTGCCGACAAGTAAATCTGTCATTCATGTTTGTATGTCAGTGTCTTGAATGGTATTTTCACTGTTCAAAGAATTTACCTTCTTTCCTGTCAGAGCTTAGTACAAGACAATTCTGTGGTCAAAATACTAATTTGGCCATATACATATTCCTTATTTGACAACTGTCATTCAACATTCTGTATTTATGACACTAGTGAAAAAATCTACCTATCTCTTGTACTAACGTCCATCTAGCAGTACTGAATGCTGAGCAGTGAGGCAAGAGCAGTGCTAGCTGTGATGGTTAAGGTTATGCATCAACTTGGCTGGGCCTTGATTCTTAGTGATTTGGCAGCTATAAATGACATCATTTCATAACTGCATACATGCATAATTACAAATTAACTGTGATGTAGTCATTCTCCATTTTATGATTTGCAGTGGTTATCCTCCATTTTTGTATAATGCCAATTTTTGCATAATGACCTGTTTTCTGGAATCTAACAATGTCAATAAGTGAGGAGTGGAGGTATACTTACGGAAAACACCTTGAAAAAATTTTATTTTCCAACTTTACTTGTTCTTTTTATAGCAAACTCTGTATTTGCTATTATATCTTCTTTCATTTAGCCTCTTTTTATAAATGCTCTGATAGTCACAGAAAGATACTTTCACTAATTTCATCTGTAGCTGGATTTTTTTTTTTTAAAGCTATTGAGTGGTCCTTAATCACAACAGTTAATTTTGAATCTAAATATTCCTTTGCAAAGGGCAGATTTTTTTTTTAACCTTGGTAAGATCAACTATGCTAGATAGAAGTGAAACCAGATCTTATCAGTGTAGCACAACTTCCTCATATATAACCTGGAACAGTGAAGTGCAGGGAAAGGAGTCATTTATTCCTTTCTCTAAAACTTGGTCTTGCAATTAACTAGCAAGGTAAGCAAGTTATTTAACCCTCCTGAGTTTCCATTTCCTTCCCTATAAAATGGGGATATTAACATGAATTGCAACAGCAAGGAAAAATAATATACATTAACTGCCACATGCAGAATAGGTATTTATTAACTCTTAGTTCTCATCCCTTTTGCTGAAGGTCATCTTCTTGCAGTCACCACTGAGAACCTTTCTTGTAATCATGTCAGTAGAATCATAGCTGACCGCCTCTGATTTGTAAGTGTGTTTGTATGTTTTCAGGGGCTCCATTTAGTTCATAGTATTGGGTCTCTTGAGTCTTACCGTGTAAAATGTTTGCTTTCTTCATGAACCTCCATCTCTGAGCTTTTAAATTCATTTAATTCTTTTCTTATGGCAGCCTGTGGAAAAGAGAGAAAAATGTTGCACTAGCTTCTATTTGCTGTACTCGAGGAGTTGATTTGCTATCTATTCTCTCTTGTCCTTTTTAAAATAAATGTTTTATTGTGAATTATGTGATAGTTTATATGGGAGAAGAACATTAGTTTTACATTCATTCTATCGTATATCATTTCATTGCCACAGTTACAATCCCCTCCATGCATCATCAACCAACCAAAGGGTATACCTTGCAAGCTTGCCACCCCCCGCCCCCGGCCCCCCGGTTGTTAGCACACAGCCCCTCTCCCTCTCTGGATCTCAAGTCCCCAGCTGCTCCATCTCTCCATGTCATCGTCTCTGCCTCCATCTCAGGCATCGCTGCTTCTCTGGATAGGGTCTCGCTCTCCGCTCTTCTCCATTGATGGTCCTAGTGACCTCCGCTCCTAGACTGAAAAGTTAATCACTCCCGTCCTTGCTACAAAATGTCTACCTTTACATTTCCAACCCTCACAATCAGTCCTGAAAACAATTATTCACTACTGTATCACAAGAGACCCATCTGCATTTCATTTCATCAGCCCCGCCCTAGACAGACTGGATATTACTCACTGTAGATTCTACCTTCCTCCACACCCTCTGGATCTAGGTTCCCTCTTGAAAGCTTGTAAGCCAGTCACTTCTTGCCTTTGTAGCCCCCCCATTTTGGGTAGCCAATGTCCAAGTTGTCCATCCCTGTCTACTCTGTGTGTGGAGAGGGTGGGAATGATTCTTGCAGTAAGGATTTGTATCCTCTTTTGAGCTACTGCTTCCATAGGTGTAGGTCAAGATCATCATTGTCCTTACTTTTTGAGTCACTGCATTCCCACCAGGCAACCCAGAAATAGGAAAGATGCCAGGTCACACCCAGTGTACTGAGCTCTGAGTCCCACTCACACCACTTCCTCTCTTAATACCATTTATAGTACAAGCACTCTAAAACCCCCAGTTAAATCAAAATCCTTGAAAAGCTGTATAGAATCTTGAAGCGAGACTATAGCTTTTAGAGTTCCCACAGCATGAAAAATGGGTTTCCCATTATAAAAGTAAAATGTGCATATCGTTAAAATGTATCACCCAAACTGCCTCCAACTAAACATAACCACTGATAAGGAGTGCTTTATTTCCCTCCGGGTTTTATTTTTTGTCCTCTGTAATATAATAGGGATTTTCTTTTCTTTCAGTTACATTTTGGCATTTAGTATCCTGATTTGAAATTTAACACTATATCAAAACCAGTAACTTTGTTTATAATTCCCCCTTCTAGTTAGTGCTTTAACTCACTGACTGACCTTGAATCAATTCTAACTCATAGCCAACCTATAGAAAGGACAGGGCAGGACTGCTATGTAGGGTTTCCAAGGCTTTAATGGAAGCAGACTGTCACATCTTTCTCCTGTACTGTGGCTAGTGCTTTAGCTACAGCACCACAGAAATCCTAGTTAGTGTCTTGCATCCTTCAAATAAAGAAAAAAATTTTAAAGCAAGCTTTCTGGTTACCTTGTCAGCAGGGGTCAGTTTGGTCCAAGGTTTGTCAGCTCGTCGGTCATAATCTTGCGCATCTGTTACCTCAACATACTCATTAAACCTCAGAATCTTCCTGGCTAGTAGTTCAGCCACAGTTGGCCTTTGACTGAGCTGCAAAAATGGAGCTTTTTAGTTTGCTGTGCCAGGAATTAGGCATCAATCATAAATTAAAATTACCTGTAACCCAGTGCTCTAACCTTCAGCGCACATTGGGATCACCTGGGGAGCTTTAAATAGTACTGATGGATGCTTGGATTCCAATTTAACAATTCTGGACACAGGAGTTTTATAAAACTCCTCAATACACAGTTAAGATCCAGAATCACTGTTTAATCCAATGCTTTTCACAATGTAATGTTTCCTATTAAATATTGTTGAAGTTTATGTTCTGATAAGTGTGTCTGGGGTAAGGCCTGAGATTCTGTCTGTGAACCACATTTTAGATATCATGGTTTTTATTCTTTATGGAAACAGCTAGGGCTATAAACACATACACAAGTGTATCAGAAAATAAATGCATTTTAAATACAAGCAGTATCTACTAGTGGATAACATTAACGGTAAATTTCCTTCTAACATCGACAATGTCCAAGGCAACATATTCTATAACAAACTACAATTTGAGGCTGCACAATTGGGCAATCTGCTCAGTAATAAATCCATTCAGGATTCTAACTATCCTTAATTTATCAGCTTCTACCTATCCTCAGTTTATCAAGGACACTTTATCTAGGAAGGGAAGAAATCAGAGAAATCAGGAATAGAATGTTTACAACCCTTGCTCTCCTGGGATTCTTATTAATTCTAATTACTTAGAGAATTCAGACCAAATCAGAATGTATGGAAAGCAATTACAACCTATTATGTTAGGAAGGAAAGGAGCAAAGGATTAAGCCTGGTGCTCAAAAGCTAACATAGGGCTGAAACAGAAACAAAGTCTAAATTGATTTGGATCACAAAGAAATCACAGTTGATTTTTTGATACTTCTCAGACATCATTACTAAAGGTCAGTTCAATTTAGCTCCTCTTGATTAGAAAACAACCAGTTGGCTTTGACAAACTGAATGCAACATATTCTTCTTGTTACTGTTTACAGTTGGACAGGCTTACCTCAAAACCCCAGATCTAACTGGAAAGTAAAAATGTTTCTAGTTAAATATGTATTGAGCATCTTCTTGTGCCAGTTCTTTGAACAATACAAATGGAAAAAAAAAGTTGCTCTTGATAATGATGTGTTGTTTCCTATATTTATATCCTGTTTAAATTTTCACAGCAATCTATAGCATTTCAAGTCAAATTAGTTTTTTTTTAAATCAAATAGGTCATCCAAATACATGACATGACAGATAGTCAACACACTGAAACCAAACACACAGGCAGCAGTACCTTTCTAGTAAGACGACGTTTAATCTCTCGTTTTTCAGCCTGACGATCAGCTTCATTTTTAGCTACAGTTTAGAGTCAGGAACAAAAATTATTACTTCAAAATGAAACTTTTCATATTAAACTTTTAAGTAACTATACCTCAAATATTTATTACAGGCTTCAACGAAGATATTTTTCTTGCTAACTACTAGAGTAAAATATTTAAGAGCAGGGTTCAAAACTTTGGTGCCAAATCTGTTTCAGCTACCCATATTTTAACTGCTTAGAAGCTAAAAATGGCCTTTACACTTTCAGATGGTTACATTTTAAATGGCTTTTTAAGTAACTGACTGGTTGGCTGGTGGGTTAGTGCTGTGGAGTTGCTTCGACTCATAGCGACTATGTTTAGGGTTTCCGAGGCTGTAAATCTTTACGGGAGCAAAAAACCTCATGTTTCTCCTACAGAATAGCTGGTAGTTTCAAACTGCTGACCTTGAGGTTAGCAGCCTGACTCATAACCACTACGCTAAAATTGGAAATATTTACTATCTGCTCTTTAAGAAAAAGTTTGTGGAACCCTGCTCAAGAGTAACCATAAAGAATAGGGAATAAGGATCACATGAAGCTTCATGTGATCTGTTTATAAAGGTTGCTACACTGATTTGCTAAGTGACTAAGTTGTATATATCCAAATAGAGTCAAGAAAACAGGGGGTGGACAGGGCAGAGATTGAACATGTACAGAAGTGATCTTTGGGAAGACCATACCTCTTCATACAGAGGTTGTTATGGCCAATTTTTACTCTATAATCTGGAAAATCAAAACAAGGTTAAAACAACCTATCAAAATTTAATGATGTTCACAGAATGCAAATTGTGGATTTACAAATACTAAGAGGTAAGAAAAAGTCTTATAATGTTAAGAGATACAGGAAGACCGCTGCACTGGGATTTGCACCCCAGTCCTCATATTCCACAAGGAACAGAAGGGTCCCTCCTTCATGTGCAAAGCTGCAACCTTAGTTCCCTAAAGCCAGAGGTAACTTGGGCCATACCTATTGCACACTGTCAAATCCTCCCAAATGACCCAAGCAGTTTCAGGAGACTATGAGAACTTTAAACAAAATTTTCTGAGGAGTATCATAGTACATTAAACAATACAACAATGGGGTCTTCCAAAGGAAATGCAGGGGAATTATGTTTCTTCAAGAAAAAATATACCAATAGTCCTTCTCTGGCTGGACTATTGTAGTAACTGCATCTTTTCTTTGTAAAGAAAATTAAAGTCAAGAATATGCAAATAAAATCAATACAACTTTATTTCCATAGGTGGACTTACGTTGTAGTATATTTCGTTGTTCTAGTTCTTCTGGTGTTGGTCTTTGACTCAGGCGACTGAAAGGAGATAAGCATGAATTACTGTCAGTGTTAAACCCCCCAATCTTTTTTTTTAACCTTAGTTTAGATCACCCCCTATAAGAAAGCAATAGATTTTCAAACTTGTTTGCTAGTTTCACTTAATCCACTTTAAATAAAACAATGTCCATATTGAAAATACTAACATACCTTCCATAAGATGAAAAAGAAATGTACAGGCAAAGAGAAAGTCAGGATTCTAGTTCTAGCTCTGACACCAATTAATCCTATCACCATGTACACACACACATAAAACCTCTGTTAGATTCTTAGCATCTTCATCTGTAAAATGAGGGGTTTAGACTGGATGGTGTGGGTCCTAAACAGTTTCCCAAGGCAAATGAACAGCAATTTAGGTTCAGGAAATTAGGATGAGGTCTGAGATACTTTATATCATAGTGTCTTTCAAAGAAAAGAAGTTACAATTTTTTGATGACATCTAACTTGTCAATTTTTTCTGGATCATGCTTTTGAGGCCAAAATTTTGTCAAACTTAAAGTCACAAAGATTTTCTCTGTTCTTGCTAGAAGTTTCCTAGCTGTAGCTTTTGTATTTAAGTTTATGATCTATTTTGAGTTAATTTTGCAGATGCATAAATTTTGCAAAGTATGAGTTGAGATTAATTTTATATATGTATAGCCAATTGTTCCAATGTCTTTTAGTTATAAAAATTATTCTTTCTCTTTTAAACTGACTTTGTACTGTTATAAAAAAATCAGTTAGTGGAAAAATGGAATTAAAAGATAATGGAAAATTTCCACGAGCTTTTTTAAGCCCCCTCTTATAGGTAGGGTAAGGAGCTCTGGTTAAGCTCTAGACTGCTAACCAAAAGGATGGAGAGTCCACTTAGTGGCTCCTATAAAGATTATTGTTATTGTTGTTAAGTGCCATTGAGTCCGTTCCGACTCAGAACCTTGCATAGGGATTCTGAGGAGCAAGTGGTGGATTTGAGCTGCCAACCTTATGGTTCACAGACCAGTGCTGATCCTACACCAGAAGGTCCCTATAAAGATCATTGTCATGAACACCTTGTGGGGCAGCTCTAGTCTGTCATGTAGGGTCATTATGAGTATGAATTGACTTGACAGCAGCCAACACCACCACCGCCAAGACCAGATCTTTGGGTTGTTTATTCTGTTCCACTGATCTATTTGACTATCTTTATTGGTGCAGTAAGATAAACACTGGACTGCTAACCACAAGGTTGGCAGTTCAAACTCACCAGCTGCTCCTTGGAAACCCTATGCAGAGTTGCTATGAGTCGGAACTGACTCGATGGCACTTAACAACAATATACCAATACCATTTCAAGCTTTATAATAATCTTGAAATAAGGTTGTTTGTTTTTCAACTTCACGACACTGCCTTTTTTTTTTTCTTTCATGATTTTGGTTATTCTACATATTTTGTATTTTCAAAGAATTTTAGAAATTTAAAAAATCAGTTTGCCAATTAAAAAAAGGAAAGCCTGTTGGAGAATTTTGATAGGAATTGTGTTGAATCTGTTGTGTTGTTAGGTGCTATTGAGTCAGTTCCGACTCAGCGATCCAGAAGGAAACATGCCTGGTCCTACACCATCTTCACAATTGATGTTGTTCTTGAGCCCACTGCTGTTGCCACTGTGCTAATCCATCTCGTTGGGGGTCTTTCTGTCTTTTACTGACCCTCTACTTTACCAAGCATGATATCCTTTCTCTAGGGTCTTGTTCTTCCTGGTAACATGTTTGAAGTATGAGAGATGAAGGCTTGCTATCCTGACTTCTAAGGTACATTCTGGCTGTACTTCTTCAGACATAGATTTGTTTGTTCTTCTGGTACTCCATGGTACTTTTTTTTTTTTTTAAAGGTTTTTATTGTGGATTGAGTGAAAGTTTACAGGGCATATCATCAGTTTTACATTTAACAAATCATATACCTTGTTTCATTACAATGATTTTAATCCCCTCCATGTGCCATCAGTTAACAGTATTTCTCTCTATGCACTTTAGCTTTTTTTAAAAAACAAAACAAAACCACCACTCAGGTATATATAATAATTTACATCTCCAAAGGGCACATTCTGTAAGTCTGCCTCCTGACCATGAATCTCCCCAATCCTCAGCCAGTCCCCCTCTCCATGCCCTCATCTCTGCCTCCGTCTCTGGCGTAGCTGCTTCTCTGGATAAGGTCCTGCATTCTGCTTGTGCGCTTCTCCCTTGAGGGTCCTAGGGTCCATCTTCCAATACGGAGTGTAAGTCTACTTCCAGCTCATTTGCCTCAGTCACTTTATCTCATTTTTGGACATGTGCTGATATGGTCATCTGCTTCTGTTTGTTGGGCATATTCAGGGGTTATCTGTGGCTTTAATACTTAGATGGGTATGTATTTTGGTATTTTTTATGGTTTCTGATTGCCTCCAGGTAGATGTGATCAGGAGATGGGCTTCCCTTTTTACTCTTCTTCCTGCGAAATTTCAAGATGCCACTGTTGGTTGTTGTGACATAGCTCAGGATTTAATTTTTGGTCGATTTCCTTTTTAGTCTGCCTGTCCTGCTCCACAATCCTCATTCAGGCCTTTTTTTCTAGTTATAAACAGTTCAGGGCCAGCTGTGGCCGTTTGGTTTTGATTGGAAACTGTCTCTTTAAATTTCAAGGGGATCTGTGCACATGCGTAGTAGTACCGCCTGAGGGTGGGGCTGGGGAGTCCACTAGCTCAGGCACCCCTATAATCATCAGAATGGAAGTGCGCCGACAGTGAGAGACCAATGACCAGATACAAAAAAAAAAAAATGTCCACACCTTTATCTCTGCGGTTGTCAGGCGTCAGTGGCTGCTCTGATCCTTCCCCCGCCTGGTCTCGCCCAAAATGGCGGCTCTGGGAGCAGCTGAGCGTCTTGAATTAGAAAGTACTGGATTTCTTGCTTCTGCTACAAATTTCCCTAGCTTTAAGCCTTCCAACCTTCTAAATATTCCTTTATATGTGGTTCAGAGTTCTGGCACCATCCCCTGAGCCTACTTGGTCTGGTATTCTGTGTTGTTGCTGATGGAGCGCCTTACTACACTTCCACCTGATCCACCATCTTGTTTGTTCCTCTCCATGATACTTTTAATATTCTTCTCCAACACCATAACTCAAATACAGCAATTCTTCTAAAGTCTTCCTTATTCATTGTATAACTATCACATGTGTATGAGGCAATTGAAAATGCCTTGACTTGGGTCAGGCACACTATAGTTCTTACACCGTTCTTTTTGTTTTCGAATGCTTTAAAGAGGTTGTGGGCAGAATTGCCTAATTCAATATATCATTTGAGTTCTTGACTGCTGCTTCCATTAAGTGGTTGATAATGGATCCAAGCAAAATGAAGTCTTTGATACTGTCAACCTTTTATACATTTTTATCATGATGTTGTTTATTGGTCCAGTGGTGAGGATTTTTGCTTTCAGGATTTTTGTTTTGAGGTGCAACCTATACTGAAGACTTAAAATACTATGTTTTTAAAACTTTCAGCATGGTTGTATCATTTGCATACTGCAGGTTGCCAGTGAGTTGTGAGTCTTCCTTCAATCCTGATACTACATTCTTTTTCATATAATCTAGTTTCTTGGATTATTTGCTCAGAATACAGGTTGAATAAGTCTGGTAAAAGAATACAACTCTGGCACACACCTTTCTTGATTTTAAACCACTCAGTAGCCCCTTGTTCAAAAATGGGTCAGCCAAGACCCAGCTGATGTAAACAGTGATATTCCTAGTTCCATGTCCTCTTATGAATCCAGATTGAATTTCTGGCATTACCCTGTTGATGTACTGTTTCAACTGTTTTTGTATTATTTTCAGCAAAGTTTACTTGACTATGATCTAAATGATAGTGTTTTATGATTTTCACATTCTGTTGTCACAGCTCTTTAGAATGGGCACAAATCTGGTTCTCTTCCAATCAGATAGTCAAATTTTTTGAGAATGATGAGTGAGTACCTCCAGTGTTGAAGCAGTTTGTCAAAAGATTTTGATTTATATTCCGTCAATTCCTGGAGCCCTGCTTTTTGTTTTTGTTTTTTGCCAATGCCTCTAGTGCAGTTTGGACTTCCTTCTCTATCATTCTTCTTCATCATATGCTACCTCTTGAAATGGTTGAACACTGACCAATTCTTTTTGATATGTCTCTTGTGTATTCCTTCCATCTTCTTTTGATGCTTTCTGCATCATTCAATATTTTGCTCATAGATTCCTTCAATATTGCTAGTTGAGGCTTGGTTTCCTAACTCCAAGTCTTTGCACATTTCGTTACAGTGTTTGTCTTCTTGAGCTGCCTTTTGAAATATTCTATTCAGCTTTTTTACCTCCTCATGTCTTCCATTTGTTTTAGCATCTCTATGATGGAGAGCCAGTTTTAGAGTCTCTTCTGACATCCATTTGGTCTTTCACTTTTTTCCTGTTCTTCTTATGACCTTCTGCTTTCTTCCTGTATGATGTTCTTGATGCCATCCACAACTCTTCTGATCTTTGGTCATTAGTGTCTAATGCATCAAATTTGTTCTTGAGATGTCTGTAAATTCAGATGGGATATGGTCAAGGAGTCCTGGTGCTGTGGGTTAATGCATCAGACTGCAAAGCTGTTTGAACTGCAAGGTCAGTGGTTCAAGTTCACCAGCTGTTCCTCAGAAATCCTATATAGGGTCGCTATGGGTCAGAACCAACTTGACGGCAGTTAACAACAACAATGTTCAAGGTCATATTCTGACTCTCACACACTTGTTTTAACTTTCTTCAAATTAAGCTTGAACTTGCATATGTGGTTAGTTCCACAGTTGGGCCCTTGGTCTTGTTTTGGTTGATGATACCGAGCTTTTCTACCATCTCTTTCCACAGATGTAGTCACTTTGATTCCTATGTATTCCATCTGGTAATATCCATGTGTATAGTCACCTTTTATGTTGGCTAAAAAAGATATGTGCAATGAAGAAGTCATTGGTCTTGTACAATTCTCTCATGTGGT